AAAATATACACACTTTTTGAGGGTATTCACACCCTATGAGTGTATATATATATATATATATATATATATATATATATATATATATATATATATATATATTTACTGCTCAAAAAAATAAAGGGAACATTTCACTTTAATTTTGTGTGTGGCTCCAAATCCAGGCCTCCATTGGTTAATAAATTTGATTTCCATTGATGATTTTTGTGTGATTTTGTTGTCAGCACATTCAACTTTGTACAGAACAAAGTATTCAATGAGAATATTTCATTCATTCAGATCTAAGATGTGTTATTAGAGTGTTCCCTTTATTTTTTTGAGCAGTGTGTGTGTGTGTATATATATATATATATATATATATATATATATATATATATACAGCTCTGTCACATAAGAATTACAAAGCTTAATGTCTTTTAGGGGGGATTTTATGTGATAGAGCAACAAAAAAGGACATCACAATCTATTGTATTTGTGGTTTAAGTTGTAAATAGATTTTATAGATGTTTTATTTATTGTTTTGGGTATTTAAAATATCTTCCAGTTCAAGTGGTAAGTGTTTACAGAATGAAAGTTTATTGGTCTTTGAGAGGGTGAACTGGTACCATTATGCCATTATTAATCAACGCAAAACAACATTATCGTTTATCACAATGATTACTGGGGCAATTTATTGCCCCGCTAATTTTTTTTTATTGAGATATGCCTTGTTACCACACCGCACTCCTGTGATTTTTACTCCTCATGTCCAACTTGTCAGTTCAGCAGGGGTCCGTGTCGTGGCCGGTTATCACTGCCTCTGTCTTCTCATTTCCAGATGCTGCACTGAACTGGGATCTTGTTTGAGATTTTTATTTGTTAAAATGCTAAAACTATTTATCCTTTTCCTTCATCTTAAGAGTTTTATGCGTGACTTTGTGTTTGTCTAGCACAAAAAAAATATTAAAGTGAGCAAATGTGGAAAAGTTGAGGTAGGATGAATGCAGTGAGTGGAACTGGGATGCTAGGTGCCGATTTGCACAAAAAAAAGTGAAGAGGGTCAGGTAGCAGGTGGCTGATTTTACTGTGAAGAGGCGTGTGGGTGTGTGGATGTCTGCCATGCCGATGATGAAACGCCTGGGGTTGTCGGTAATGACTACAGACGTGACTGGACCCTGAAGCCTGTTGTGGGGGTCAAATGCTGGGGGGCAACAGTGTTTGGAAACACCTGTGGATCTCCTGTTTATTACACACATTTCTGCCCCACATGGAAAGCCTCTGAAAACAATGTCTCCATCTCACACACACACCATTTGTGAGGGTGTTTTATATACGAGGTCAGACAGACAAATATACATTTTAGTTTAATTGCTTGTGCTTTGTGTGAGCCTTACCGATGTAGACTCTTCTGCTGTAGCGCTGCATCAGCAGCAGTGCGAACACATGCAGAGGAATCAGGTTGATAATAAACACGTAGCCTCCCCAAGCTGACACCTACAAGAAACAGAAAAATATTTAAATGTCAGTAAGCAAACAGAAAGCTAAGATAATTAGTGTCTCTTGTTTATTTCTCACATTTAATCAGAGACAAAGCTCTATAAGCAGGTTTACATAAATAAGCAATGCTAACAAGACGGTTACAAGAAGTTTGATGAGCTGAGACAAAGTCGTACTGCAAGGAAACTCTTGGTTTAAAAAAAAATATGTAGTTTGCAATCAATAGGTTGACACTAAAAAAAACTCAAACAGCTGATTTTCAAATGAGAAATTATACTAATTTATTTCTCCCTGTGGTGTGGATGCTGCTACTGAGTGAGGAAGACTCTGAAGTTTCCAGGATGTTTAATAGATTTAAAATAAAACGAAGAGGAAAAAATGGGGATGAAAAATAGGAAACTATGTTCTATGAAATGATAGGGTGTGAGAACAAGAGAGAGCAAGGCTTTCAGCTGACAACAGGAAGTTTGACCAATCCTGTTCAGTCGTATTCCTTTCAACTTTCAATTTTTTTCTTTTATGGAACTTGTTGGATTTGGATACGTTAGTAGACTTTGGGAAATCTCAGAGTAGAGGTTTGGCTCCATATCAAGGAAACGGATGCAACAAAATGGAAAAAGCTTTAAATAATAAAAAAAAAAGGCTGCTATCTGTTTCCACCTGTTGGATTACAGCATTAACTTGTAAAACCATAACATGATTTTTTTTTTTTTTTTTTGTTGCAGCCGACTCCAAAGAAAAGTCTAAATAAAAGAGCTTTCATGTTGGCAGCAGATCCTTGAGGCTTTGCAGAGCCAGAAAATGAAATCCACATTGAAGCCTTCTGTCTGAAAAATTGTCTATAAAGACACAAAACTGCAGGTTTTTGAACATGAAATAAATCTCACCATCTCAACCTGATATGGTCTTTTCTAGTGTCTTCTTACTCAAACTGAATAATTTAAAAGAAAAAAAAAGGGATTTTTCTTGTTCAAACAAGTCTGGCTGGAGACATCCAGCCTGAATAACAAAGACCTAGTGACTCACCAATTATTCAAAAATATTAAAATTCTCCAAGTTTACCTCAATCTTAGTTCCTCAGATCAAACATAAAAGAATCCGATTTTCCAGATTTATTAATTCTGTCACAACTACCAGCTGTATTATTTTCTTTCAGTCTAGAAACATCAAAAATACTATTTCAAAATGGGCCCAAGACACCTCAAAATAACAAGTAAGCAGCAAACAAAAATTTAGATAATCAAATGACATTCCTAAATGTAGAAAGTAACTTATTTTCCACAAAGAAACAACTGCCAATAGTCCCTCAGAGGCCAAGAGACCGCTTCCAAATACCAACTCCCACATTAAAACTCCCACAGCAGACACCAAAACTGCATCTTTACTGGGCACAAACACACAGCCATAAACACCAACTAAAATAGAATCTGTAAAAACTAAGCGATAACACTTCACATGTCAGATGTAAAATCTCTGATGCACCAGTAAACTTAATACGCTCCACTAAAAGACGACCAAAGCTGCTGTTGAGGTCTGCCACGCAGCAGAGCGTCTGATGTGTGGGCCATAAAAAAAGCTCCACTAAAACAACGTTTTAATCATCTATGCGTCTCAACGGCAAAGGGCAAATAAACTGACAGGAGATTGAGTTGTAATTACAGAAAAATAAAGGAATACAGATAAAACGAGCGGAATATGCGAGAAAACAAAACCTGAAAAGGTGATTACATTAATGCAAATTGTTTGATCCTTCTTTTCCTCACAACAGAGCCCTTTTGCTCCAGCAAAGGAAGATAAAACAAACGATCATGATTTCATATTCACAGGAGAAACAAGCAAGTTTTATTACAGAAAGCTGGAGATCCTCATGCAATATTAAGGCAGAAAAATTAAAAACTGAATCTAAATAAGCTTCTTGCTGGCGCAATTATCTTTTGGCAGTCACTCGCATCTGTTGTCTCAAATGGTGACAACCAATTAGAAGCCTGCGAACCAGAACTTGAACGAACAACAAAGATGACTTCAATTTAACACTCGTTTTCAGTGTTGACACAGGAACAGCTCATCAAGTCTTTCTGGGAACTGATGAAAACACTGCAGACACAGCGAGGGGCGACCCGCAACATCTTGCAGTGTTAATTTTTTAATGAACTGTCGAGTCAGGCAAAACGAAGTCGCACAGCAGGATTAAGAGGAAGTCAGAGTTTCAAAATTTCTTCTGAACATCACGCCAAAACAGTCTGAGAGGCTCCCGCATACTGCTCTTAATAGATGACCAACAAGAGAGAGCGGTGCTTTCAAGCAAGGCAGAGAAAATGCAAAGCTGCAGGAAGAAAAGGTGGAAAATTCGCCCTTGAAGTTCAATTAATTCAGAGAAGCTTCTAATCCTAAAGTAAATCTGATGGAGAAGGAGGAAGTTCAAACAATCTCTTCCATCGATCATAATGGGAAAGGATCATATTCCCGACTCCAACGTCTCTCCGCCTGGCTTTCTAATCCTACGGCCAGACGGAGATTTATAGAGGTGTGGCAAAAGCAAACGAGGTGGATTAGCAGTGCTGGCCAACAACTTCCCTGATATAGAGCTGCTAGCATCTCATCACAGCCATGAGACTGTCATAGATCTTCAGATGTCTTCCAAGACTGACTGCTTCCTATCGGCTCTTTAAAGATACTTGGATGATGCTAATTATATCGCTTAACTGGCCCTTGATATAAATAATTTTAATTAAATTGAACAAATCTGTTTAAGTAGCCTGCAGCTTAAACAGATTTGTTCTAGTGCATTGTAGAAGTATTTGTCCACTTGAAGATTTCTGCATTTTTTTGGTCACATTGACACATTTTGAATCAAACAAACTTATCAGAGAAAGATTATCCGAATAAACACAAATTGCAGTTTTCAAATTATTTAAAAGAAAGGGCATCCCATCCCCCCCTGTTAAATTACCTGCAATTTAACATTTATAGTACAGCCGAGTCCAGACTTGGAGAAAAATCCTCAACAGTGGTGTAAAAGTCTTATTGCCACTTATTAAAAACAATTCAGTTATTAAGTTTGGTTATTGTCTGCAATTATTTTTTCAAATAAGGCAAAATTACAGTCACTGGGGCTGCTGAAGACCAGACTAGTTTTGGTTATAGCACCAGTTAAGGTTAGCGTTAGCAGTAGTCCTAATTTACATTTTATTTTACGTAGATTAAAAAGGATAAAAAAATTTTATCTGCAGCTGTGGCCATCCGGATGTTGTTACTCGAGATTTAATGGTCTTAGTCACAAATCATATGGGACGGTACAGGACCCTTTCCTGCAGATGAACTGCTTTTCCAAGTATTTGTAGGAGCTAAGGTCAGAAAATTAGCTAAAATTTAGAGGCTGATGAGAATCTCATTAGATCTGCACGTGTCGGGCTGTGAACTAGAGCACTAAAACATATTTTGACCTGATAATGGCTGTCAATAAATAATGCATGAAGAAAGTTGTGCTAACACTAATGTGATTACAAGGCCAGGCAACAAATGTGCGTGATCATCTTTCATGAGAATCTGTTTAGTAGCTTCAGGAGCATTTTTTCCTTAGATGAAAGTGTGCATATAAAAACATAAAGGCTCTTAAGATATTCACGTTTTGACAAAATTCATGAAAATGTTTATCTTGTTTGTTTATCATACGCAATTCTTGAGAAGAAAGATGTGTCCACATTGGGGTAACATTCACATTCAAAGGCTTCGAGTGTCTGCTCAGTCAAACTAAAGAATGCAATTTGAGTCTAAGTGAACAGCATGGCACTTATTCCACATAACAGGACCATGGGAAGTCGAGGGACGCCTCTCCTTGTCTCGCTGTGGGTCACATGGACAAATTATGGTTCAGCCAACCGTTTTCTAAAGCTAGACTGCAACAGCAGAGGGCAGGAATCTTAAAAAGCTTGGAACAGTCTTGCAGCCGTTATCGCTCTCTGAACTTCAAGCTGGGCTTATCTGATGACCACAGAGGTGCTTTGAAGAGGATTTAAAAAGCGCACCATGCAACAGGCCGAGGGTTTCCTCTCTGAGGTTGCAGATGCATTTGTGTGTACGAAGCTTCACACGCAAACTAATCTTGTTATTTTCAAAAGACTTTTTTTTTTTCAGTTTGCCATGCCTTGCAAAAGAATTTGCGGCTTATAAACCCGTTTCATAATTTGTCATGTGATAACCAGAAACTAGTGATCGCATGTGAAGTGGAAGGAGTATGATTTATGGTTTTTCAATTTATTTTCCAATAGAAATCTGTGAAGATGCACATTTGCAATCGGCCCACTGAGTCCATCTTTGTAACTTTGGGGATATTGGTGTAAAAAAAGGCCAAATACAAATGTAACCTTCACTTACAAGTTAATTATTCAGGTATGTTCTGTTATCTCAAACCCTCAGTCAGTCGCGGCAGTTGATCGGTCACCCCGGGTCAGGTTCTGCTGGAGGGTTCCTTCTGTTAAAGGAGAGGACTCCTCCTCTCCACCGTTTCCTCAGATAGAAGACTTCTTAAACAAGTGGCACAAAAAACTTGACAGCATTCTTTCATAATGATTGAATTGGAATAAAATTGGGTATGAATCTACATATTAATTTGTGTAAATTGTATTTTTTTTTAGATGTTTGTTGTAATTTTTTATATAAATATACTAAATTCAGTTATTTGTAAAAAAAAAAAAAAAAACATTTGAATGCTTATCACTTTTCTGCCATGTTACAATTATTTGGCCACTGTTTTCCATATTCAGCAGGTATGAGTACTGCACAGACCAGTGGAGGGCAGTATGTAATGAAGGATGAAGGTGGAGTTCCTTCATCCACCAGGTTGGTCAGAACCAGATAGACATCTCCATCTCTAAAGTCTTGCTGTCAGTTTAATGTTTCACTCCAGGGAAGCTGCTTCCCTTAAAGCAGCCACTGTGAGAGCCCGGTTTTCAGAGCATTTAATCAGCATTTGATTGAGCTAAAGAGCTTTTGACAGGCGCTGACATTACAGGTTAGTCTATTAGAAGATGCTGAAGGGTTTAGGGAATTGGAATTTTTTTTAATCAGCTTTGCCCTTTGGTTCCAACCTCAGAAGATGATCTGCAGCCTCCAGCGACGGTCTGAACTTTCCTGGCCATCAGTCCATCAAATTGCTCAAATTCATGTCTTAATCCCAACCACCGCCGCCATTTCTCCTTCAAATAATCCAAAGTCGGAGCAATAAAAGATCTCTCCCGCTTCGTTTTGGTAACTCCTTAATGAGTGTCACGTTCAGTTAAGCCACGCTGGGAAATATAACCTTGGCTTTATCCTGATTAAATACCATCCTAAAAGAATATCTACGGTGCTTCCAGCACTTTGTCTGGAAGGCCAGACAGTCGGTGGTTGCATAGAAAACGATGAGTTATTGATGGAGATGTCCAAACCTGGTTTATTATTCTTTGAGGTGGACTTGTCTATAGAGGAAGATCTGATCTCTTTGGATAAGGAGGAATATGTGGGCGCACAAAAAAGATTATAACAAGAAGACAAACTAAATGTTTTCACTGCTACTGACGAGGACAATAAAGTCGGCTCTTATCTTTTTGTATTCTTTCCATCTTTGTCCTTTTTTTTTAATCTCTTTGCACCTCTCTATACACCATTCTGTCCCCTCTGCGTTTTGTCTGCCGTTCTATTCATCTCTCCACCAATCCCCCCTCCGTAATCTCTCAGCTCTTGAGTCCCCCGCTGCAGTGTGATCGATGAAGCTGGATTTCGGTAATCTGCTGGATTTGACATCTGTGTCGCTGCTGGCCAAATAGCTTTAGTTTTGAATGAAGACGACGCTGGAGATTTTCATAGGCGCCCATGCAAACAATCTGTCGCTGAGGCACAGTGCCTGAACTGTCTTTTTTTTATCTCGTCTCTCATCAACCCCCTGATGGGATTCAGTCTGAATTGATAACTAATGCAGGGAAGCAGTGGCTAAACCTACTAACAATTGTCGCAGATTTCCATGAAGTTGCAGAAAAGAAGGAAAATACTTCCTCTGTTAAGTCAGGGTGAGAAGGAGGTTGTTGGGAGGTAGCAGAGAATAGCCGCTCTGAAAGTAATCCCCTCTCACACACAAACATAACATTCCAGTATTTGGGCTTTGCACGGTTCCTTAAAATAAGATTGTCCAAAGACCGGCCCCGGGGCAAAAGCAGCCCTTGGGAAAATTGTGTATTCCCCAATGGTAGTTCAAAAATGGTACAAAATTGGCCCTCCAGCAAATGGAGCTGATGCATATGGGACTTTTTTAGGATGACATTTTAATATATCCCTTCTTAAATGGGAAGTGTTCGGTACAGCACTGTACGTTTCCTTTCTGGCTTTTATTTCAATTTTACAGCAAGAAGGGCAACAAATAGCCAGCATCTATTCTCATAAAACAGACTTTGTTCGGAATAGTCTAAAAATAATAATAAGATAAAAATTTTTTGGATCTATTGGACATCTGTTATTGATCAAGGTTGAAGACCACAATCTCCCACAAATGGCTGAGGTCTAAAAATGTTTAGAACTGCCTAATTACACAGTTCAAACAAATATAGTTAATATACATTTGCACATCCAATGGAAACTGTTTTGGCACTTGCACAGAAGCTAACATCGAAGCTAACATTGTGTGATTCAGCCAATCGACGCCAAAGAAAATGAATGCCGCTGCTGTATTGGCTGCTTGCAAAACAATGTGTCAAAAACCCAGAAAACTGAGCTGCAAATTGGTAGGAGTCTAATATACAATGACTTTTTTCCTACCTACAAAAATAGAACTACTTTGCTCCATTAAAATATTGCTTATTTAGCTTATTGTTGAGTATGTATGAAGAATCATAAACCAACTGTGTTGCAGTGATTCAACCGATTAAATTTACTGGTACTTTTTTGCATGACTTTTTTAAGGCTGCATTGTCAATCATTTTCTGGGTACTGCATTTCTGCAATAGTTCCTTCAAATCCAAAATGTAGAAGTTTTTGCAGTTGCAAAAAATATCATTCAGCCTTCAGTGACCTGATGACACCATAGAACAACAAGAAGCACTCAGCTCCAGCTTTCCATCAAAAACCACTTCCTTCACTGTTGCTCAGTGTCAGAACATTATGTTGCTGAAGAAATAAAAATCTTTGCTGGATCAGCCATATACAATAATTAATGAGGGAAACATGTCATGAAACAGACACTGCAAAGATTAAACTCAACAGCTAAAAACCACAACTTGACAAAGGTTTCAAACAGAAAGCTTAAGTGACATTTGATGACAGCTGACTTATTGATTTTTTTAATTTATTAGAATCCGATGTTCATATCAATGTATTAACAACGTCAGACAGGTCAAACTGAGTACCGAGAGCATCTAGCCTGACTCTTCTGTCTGTGATATGATCAATGGAAGAATCAGAGGCGCTCTAGCCCCTCTGGTATAAAAAGTCAGACATGAACAGCTCGGCTGTAAATGCACAGAAAGGTCTGCTAAAGAGCTCACTGACGGAGCCGACTGGACTGATTCAGAATGTCTGAGCTGCTGCTGCAGAAGATGACATAAAAGAGGAAGTTTCTGTGAATGACATGCTGTAAATTGGATTCTGCCTTTTAGACAAGAATCTTTTTGCTGAAAAATGGATGAGAGTCAAAATCATCTGAATAGAAACGCTCCTGGTTGGAGTAAGGAAAGCGGAGCTGGCCGACGACCCGAGTTTGCGTCAAGAATTGTGTTGAAGGAGGCAAACATTTGGGTCCCCAGGTTCCTCTGAACGGGTGATTAGATCTAAACACTTCCTCAAACAAATCCTGAGAGCATGAAAACCCGGAGCTTCAGAGCAGATAAGCACAACATAAACGTCCATTTATGGAAATCTTAGTTTATAACAGAAATATCTGACAGAGTCAGATCTTTTACTGACGTTTTGTTAGTAAAAGACCTACTTTTACTAACAAATTATAAATTACAAAATAAAAGTTTATTTTTTTTCCTCAAAGGACCTCAGGGACATGAGTGTGTATGCAGCATGAACTTTATAGTGGGGTTGACAAGAATTTTGATTTATCGAGATAAAGAAACTAGTCGATGATGAATAGAAACTACAAAAACAGTGATTGGGATTGTTATTTTTGTCATATGAACCATCTATGGTTTCTTTGCTGGTTTCCAGAGTTTTAAAAAAAGCTGTAATTGTGAAAATATTTTTTTGAAATCAATGTTTGCAGTTTGGTGGTATTATTGCAACATTTTGTGTGACATTGAGCAAGTTTTAATTTTACACCAGTAACTGTCCAGATGTCCAGCCAGAAGTACGATGACAGCGATAGTGACTTTAAATACTTTTCTATCACTTTTATCCTCATTACAACTAAGGCAACAAAATGCAAATGCATTAACTCTTACCATGTAGAAGTAGGAAAGACAACAGCCAATGGTCCAGAACACTGAGCCGGTCTTCACAGATTTCACCTGAAAAGAGGAACAGAAAACAATGTAGTGTTCTCCAATAAAAGGGTTCCTACACAGTTTTACATGTTTAATTTCTAAACCAGATCAAAGACTTCAAACAGTAAGAGTAAAAGACAGATATGACCTCATGAATGGACAATGAACGAACAAATGACAAGGCAGACAGACGAATGGACACAGGTAAATAAATAGTTCTCTGGATTGAAAGCAATCTGTCCAGCAATCCAGCTGATGAACAGACCAAAAGACGGATAAACCGAATACAGTCTGACAGATGGATGGGATGATGGATGATTGAGTAATAAATGGACAACAAGATGTGGTAGAAACTGTTGGACAAACAGGTGTTTAACTAATGGGTGGATGGTAAATGGAATGGTGTTTTATCAAGTCCAGAGGACCCAACAGCGCTTCACACTACACTCATTCTTTCACCCATTCACACACACATTCACACACTGATGGTGGTGAGCTGATTGACAGTAGCCACACCTGTTCTGGGCTGCCATGCATCGGCACCAACAGGCCAACCGACCAACACCAGAAGGCATGTGAAGTGTCTTGCCCTTAGAGGATTGAGCTGGCAACCCACCGATTGCGGGACAAGCTCCTTCCACTATGTATGCTATAGTTGCAGTGGAAATCCTGAGACTACCAGTAAATTAGACTTATTCTGCTTACTTAATTTCTCCTATTAGATGATATTTTCAAGCCATAAACCTATTTACATCTAGTACAGTAGAGCGTGCCAACTTAAACCCTTCATTCATCTCTGTTGATCTTGAACATAAACATCAGAGTTTTCTGTTGCAGATTATTGTGTTAAACATAGCCTGAAACAAGGTCCGCACACCGACATGACCCACAGACCTGGTTAATAATTAAAAACACTGTTAAAGGTACATCCATACAGTCAGACAATAGAAGTCATATTTCAGAGTGACCGATTAACACAGGTGATATATGTTGTCAAGAAGCTTGACTGCAGTCAGCAAGGTTAATTTATTTAAAGAAAAAAAAAAGGAATCAATGTTTCCTGGACAAAGGTAGTCTCAGTCCAAAAATACCACGACACACACCTATGGATCAATAAGCTACAAAAGGCAGCGATGCTTTATATAGCTGGAGCAGGTCAGAATATCCCGACACCCAAAGGAACAGGTCAGAAGACAATAGTCTGATTTCTTGCCAACAAGGAAGTTGTTTGTAGGAGGAAATCAGAAGATTTCAGAGCTGCGTAGCTTTATGTGGGTTGACATGACGACACAGTTAAAGTCCCGGTTAAGTGAAAGTTTGTTATTTTTTTTTCTCTCCTTGGAAGATTGACATAAATGGTGCAAAAAAAAATTCACTTAACAACAATTTCAATCCCATCAGGATTCTATTTTTTTCTTCCATTTAACTTCAACATTCCCCATTATTTGATCAATTTGACAGTTCTAGTTAATTATGAGTTGATTTTTTCATCTATGTTGTAATTGGCCTGTTCAACTATTTTTAATCCATTTATCTTTTTATCAATGCATCTTCAATATATTTAATATTATACAATGATTCCAGATTTTAGTAGTCATTTACTATAGAATACATTCTCTTTCCTCCTGGTAAAAACCAAATGTGTGGGTGAATAAAACACTGAATGGGTCTCTGTGCCATGCTGTAGGAAGAACTGTATTTAGGTCACTTCAGAACCGCGACCATAAGTGATGTGCATTTTCAGAACCGACTGATAACCAATTCTGGCTGTTTAAAATCTGCCCTGCCACCCCCCCCCCCCGTTTACCTTTGGGCATATTCTGCTGTCAGACTGTGACTGTTAAATCCCCTGCCCTACTTCATGTTCAAGCTTTCCGTTTTTACACTAACACACACAAAAAACGTTTTAAAATTCAGTCAATCCTGTTTTTTTTTTTTTTTCCGGTCTCTCAGTAACTCCCATCAATCTAATTTGGCCCCATTGTGGAGGGAACACTTTACTAGGGAACACTGCCCATTACAAAGAATGCAGGTCTGATTTGAACAATAAATTAGCAGTTTTTGCACAAAATCTAGAGTGAGATCCTGATATCTTCACCCACACAAAACAAAACAATCAGGTTTTAATGGTAAAACATAAACGAGATCCAACATGAATGACTGATACTTTGTGATCACGTAACATCTTAATCTTCACTTTGAAGGAGAACTAAGTTCAACGTAATTCCAAATTATTTGTATGTTTTTTGTGGAGCATATCTAATGTATGTAAAACAAAATGCAGCTTAGGAAACTGAACCTATACATTCTGAAAATAAAAACAGAAGCAAAGGTGTAACCAAAACTAGTGCTAATCAGTTTAGCAGACAAAACTGCTGAAGACAGCTAAACTTTCCCCATCAATGTTTCTATTTGAAGTATTCACTGCTTTTAAAAGCAGAGATGCTACACATTTTTCATGTGAAAACTATTTTCCTGGACCTAAAAAGCAGATGTCCTCATTTCTTTTTTGGTCTTTTTTGTAATTTTAAAAGATTTTTAATACAGAACCAAAAAGAAGCAGAGTTGGGTAGCTTTTGAATGGGCTTTATTCAGATCTGTAAAGATTATCCAGACTTCTCCAGATTTCACAGGAACACTTCAAGAGTGACATCAATAACCACAGAGGATAACAAGAGCCACTGAACAATCTGCAGTTTTTCCTCAACATCATCCAAACTAGTGAAGCCGAGCCGCATCCAGCCTGGTGTTCAACTTGTGGCCAACACCCCCGAAGCCCTCCGGGCTGCTGCCTTTGTTTAGCCACACAAGTCTCTCAGTGTGGTACCAGACCAGCTAATTAAATATGAGCCAAGAGAAAGAGCGGAATTACTGGTCCAACAATACAGCCATGGTGCGCAGGGTTAAAGAAACGGAGGGACGCTGTGCAACTGTGTGCTGGGAGACTGTTGTTCTTATGCAGACGAATGGAGCAACTCTCCTCTGTGTGAGTGGATTCAATTATAGATTATGGAAGAATGTGTGTGTGTGTGTGTGTGTGTGTGTGCGCGTGCGTGTGTTTGGGGGGGTAAACACAGCGATCAAGAGAATAGAGTTGAATGGGTTTTTTAGTGGTTAAAATGAAAGAGTTGGATAATGAAGATTGTGTTGAGACCAGAGAGAACAACGCTGTTTATGAAATGCTAAGAAGAGGATAAAGGGGAAAAAATTAACGAGCAGTAAGATGATACAGGAAAGGAAGATGGGCAAGGAATAACCAGGAAGAGGAGGAGGAGACGCCGCTCGATAAAGACAGAGACAAAGGACGACAAAGACAATTAACGCAAGACAATCTTGGAGAAGGATGGAGGGAAGGACAAGAAAACCACAAAGACAAATGTGGGTAAATGAGACTGATAATGGGAAGCAGTGGTGCATGGCCAGGATGATTGTTTTTCAGGCCCCTCGCTAAATTGAAGGGAAGATGTGAATGGGCGTACGATGAGTGCAGCGAGATTCTTCTTGATGGTGCTGCCCTGCTCATGACATGCCGCCTTAAGAGGCGGTAATGGCTGCCGCGTGGAACACCTGCCTCGCTTCGAGATGTATTGTCCCACCACGCCAGACGACAAGAGGCCGTTATGATGACGCAGGAACAAACACGTGTCCTCTACAACCTCAGAGGCGCGTGATAAGGGAAGAAATGGTCATAGCAGATGTTTTATAGGCGTCGCTGGAGGTTAGTGAAGGCAGAACTTCCTGACACTTTCTATTATTGGAAAGTTTCCAGCGATTTTAGAAAATACTAAACGTACAACTACACTTTATAAGACAATGGATGGATTCTGTCGCGAAGCAGCTTAAAGAGTCGGAACAAAGCTGCAGCTAACCTCTTCCAAAATTCAATCAACTGCAGCCCTCTGCTGAGTTTTCTGCCGACTCTGCAGTCTGCACGGCTCCATTCATCTCAACTAAACTCTGTTCTGTTTTTTTGCGTTTCCTTACCTTTCATTTTCAATTGCAGTTTTCAAGACAAATAGCTCGTATACATACAGAGCCTTGCAAAATTGTTTAAACCTCTTGAATTTTTTTTCTTCCTAATTATGCGCTACCAGCACAAAGTAGTTCATACTGGTGAAGTGGCTGGAAAAAACAAAACAAAACATCGTTTTCAAAATATTTTAATTAAAATCTGAGCATTTCTTTGAATTTCTCTTTGATCTCTTATAAAAAGCAGTACAACAAGTTGACTTCAGAAGTCACCTAATTAATAAACATTGCATTTTCCTAGTAGTACTGACCACTCAAGGCACTGTAGAGTCAAAATCACCCAATAGCACACTCATTCATAAGCTGATATAATACGCATGGTAAAATATGAACAAGTTCAAGGGCTATGACTGCTTTTGCATAGCTGTGTATTTTTTTCCATTTCATCGTTGCATGTAAGCTGCCAGCTTTCTGTCAACCATTTGATGCATTGCTTTCCTTTTCTTTGTTTTTAAATGCATGCTCCTTTCCATTTTAACACTCGTGTCAGTAACATTTTGTGTCTCTGAAAGCTTTTTAAATTCAGAATAGGCTGTCTGTGTCAGTTTAAGTAGGACAACAGCGGAACAATAAAGTCCTTTGTATGGAAGCACGCAGCATTTATATCCCTTGTCCTTCAACCTGGAATGATTTCCCAAATGTTGACGGCTTCCATTTTATTTTATTTTTGTAGAAGTCACCACTGCAGCGAAGGCGCTTTTCAAAGGTTTGGCTCCCTTCCAGCAGCTGTAAAGAAAGCTGGTGAGATTCTCATTAAGGACACTGTGCTTAATGTCAATCAGCCTGGGCCAACATGGGCCAAGCTTCACCCAACCAGGTGTTTGTTGAATAAACTTGGCACACCACGGAGGAATGAAGACTAGAACTAAGACGAGACTGTCCATTAACTGTTTGTTCAGCTGAAGAACCAATGTTTACACTGAGGTTCTTACTCTGCACAAGGTTTTCTTCCCAATAATTTAAAACCACTTAGCAATTTCTTTAAAAAATAAAATAAAAAAATCTGTCAGACTCTTTGCAGAAGTTTGATTTGAATAAAATGCATCTTCCAAGGCAAAAGTAATTTATATATTTTTATTCTAGACATATCCAACGTTTAATCAAAGTGACTAAATACAGACGGCCAGCTCTTCTTGTAAACATTTTGCAGTGATCTTTTTGGTTTCTATTGATTTCTTAAAGTCAGTAAAAGTTTGTTCAATGTTGCTGCTTTTGAGCAAATAAACCACAAACACATTTATCAAGGTGCTGTGTTTGCTTTCACAGCATGCAGATGGGATTGCAGAACCAAAGAGCATGTGGCTCAACACCACTGACACCAGCACATTCACACATCTCTGGAATTTCTGCTTCAGTCGCTAACTGACTGATCTCTGTAAAACCATCCTCAAACAGCCACACGTCTTACTTTTAAATACAAAAAAAAAAAAAATGTTGGATGTCATCCTAAACATGTCATCTGGATCTTATCCTACTGAACATTTCCCAGCTCAGTGGGGCCCGGCTCGTTTTGCACCTGCAGGCTGTGCTACTTCTGCATTTGCTTTCTCACACTTCTGCAATCCTGTTTTACCCCCATTACAGCTCGGTGATATTGTTTTATGTGCAATCTGCAAACTGTAAGTCAATATCCCCTGAAATTAATATTCTCACGACAGAGGTGCAACACGAGAAAAGAGAAGACTTTCAGCTGATAGTACAGCAAAGTTGATCTGATTCATATTTTCGAGCGTCTAACCTGCAAAAGCTGAATTTGAAAACGTTACTAGGATGAACTACAAGATCCGCCTGCAAAGATTGTCTGACCAACTTCCTGATTTACTTCCACGTACAAGAGCTAACAGAGAACATCATATACTTTATGATCGTATTTGATAAAACATGTGCAGAGTAGACTGCAAGAGGATCTGGGTGTAAAAGAGCGGAACTATAGATGTGGTTACACTGCTGAGTCAGAGCCCAAACAGAGTGGCTTTTATCAGGGGGATGGAAACTTAGAAACAAGCTCCAAGAGCTGGACGATAAACTGTAGCTCAGCATCAGAAATGACACGAAATAAAGAAAAAAACCCACAAAGTTGTTTCAAAAAGTAACAAGGCACAACCTTGAAACTGCATGCAGTTTTGTGCTTAAAGGGACAGGACCAACCATGGGTATTTGGATGAGTTTCTACACATCCTATGGAAGCCTTCCAGACTTTTCCACATTCTCTGTTCTTTAGGTTTATTTTAAAATATTAATACACAAGTTTACTTTCGATTTGCGGCAACTACTACTTTAGTGGGAAGGCATTTAATATGGAACAGAAGGAAACTGAAACTGGACACAAAGGAGAAAGGAACGGAGGACAGAAATAAAAAGATGGGATGACAGGAAAGGAGCAAAGACATAAGGAAGAGAAGAAAGAAAGTACACACAAAGGGAAGGAAGTAAGAGCCCAAGAACAAGAGGAAAGAAAGAACAAAGGACATGAAGGAGTTAGAAAACAAGAAAAAAGGAAATGATACTGAAAATCCAGAAGTAGAATTACAGACTTCCAGATTGCGTTGGAACCATGAATGCAGCTCCTGTCTGACCTGATTGGTGTTCATACTGCAACAGGAGTGAATAAGACCCTCCACCTGGATGAAAGCCTCCACTGTGCCGCGTGTTTTCACACTAACACAGATTAATATCGATGCTTAAAAGGTAAAATAAAATTGGACAAATAGCCTCTCATCTTCCATTAAAAATTGAAACTTGCCTCTGGCATATTTAACAAAAGCTCGTTTTCATTTTGTTAACTCAACTCAGCTTGACTGGGAATAATCAGGACTGCAGCTACTAATCAGGCTTTTCCAACGCTGGAGGCCAGAGCTGTTCAGTTTAAGAGATGCATAAAGAAAATTAGCATCTGGATACATTTAGACATTTAAATAACAAACATGGGATTTATATGAAACATTTCATCACATGAAAACAAAATCTGACTTGATTATTCACAGACCTAAACACAATGAAAAGAACAGTCTGAAACGATGCTCACACACTCGCAGGTCTTGTTGCTGTATCAAGCCAAGATCTCATTTTAGGTCATGCATGTTTTCATCTCAATTCAGATTTTAAATATCTCCACCATCTTCCCTGCTTGACAACATGCATTGGCCTTTGTAGAGAACTTTCCTTGTAAAGGAAGTGGTTGGGGGTTGACGTTTAAAGAGAACATCAGCCATGATTACGCTTACAGCCACACGGTGGGAATAAATGTCAAAAGAATATATTGAGGTTTCCTGAATACGTTATACTCCAGTTCATGTTTCAGTAGTTTCTCAGATTCCAATTTTGGGATTTTTCTGACCCAGTTTTACAACATTGGAGACATTTAAGTTCACAATTATTATGCTTTGGGAATAGTTGTGGGCTTGTCTGTGGGTAGTAGCACTAGATTAAAAAGAGTCAGTGACACTGATATGGTCTTTCAAATAATGAAAAGTTTGGAAATCAAAACATTTTTTCTTTTCTCATATTTCCACAGATTTGGAAAAGCATAGAGTCCAATTTCATAGATATCCTCCTTTAAAAATAATACTGTACAAGTACTTTTAACTTTGTTTTTTTCAGTGGCACAGCAGCTGGCTTATTATTAATAAATCTACAAAAATAAATTGGTATTCAGCTAAAATGTCTTGATTTTCCTTTGGTCTCACACAGCGACAGTGTGCAGGGCTGGTAATTGGATCACAGTATTTTGACACGTCCGTATTATAACACTGTGGGCATGTGGGGGATTTGTTAATGGAATAATTTTCAGAGACTGAATGGGGAAAAAGAATAAAATTTCATAAATATCTTCAACATGATTTTAGGATAAGAAGTAGAAAACTTTGTTAATTCTCCTCCAGCGTTCATCTCGGGTTCAACAGCAGCAGAATCAACTATAAGCTTTTATAACTGGACTAAAAGTATAAACACCAGAAAATTTTAGTCAAATCTGTACTAGTTACAACTTTAAAAGCCTGGTTTATATGGCAACATTAAAGCATTATTTCATCTTATATACAGCTCTTTCATCCTTTTGATATTGCAAATAAAAATTCACACTTTTCAAATTAAGAGCAGAATGGTTTTTATAGACAGAGCAGATTAAAGTCTGTTCAGCAGAATTCAAAATTGATGAATGAAAAAACATTAGAAAACTGAAGTGATGCAGGATGAATTAAAAACATCCATTAACAGCCGACAAGGTCAAGTTCACCATCAAGGAAGAGAGGCCTCCTGATCAAACTGTTTGCGTAGCAATTTCACGCATGCATGTATGATGCTTATATGAAGATATCTGCAGGGCTTTGCGGCAGCTGCTGATGCAACTGAATGAGCGAACAAACTCTTTGAAAACTGTTTAAGCGTCTTTCATCTTTAAAAGCTGCAGTGTGGTGTTTTGGTGCGGCTTCTGTAAACAACCGAGTTACATTTTAGCTGGAGGACAAAAAATAAAAATCATGTCTGTGGAAATACTTTTTTCATAAAACATGAGTAATATTTTAATAACTAAGGATTAAAAAAAATACAAGGAGGAAACAGGTGAGCGAGGTGACATGTTTTGTTGGCGTTTGTGAACCTTGTGGATTAAAGAAAAAAACAAAAACAAAAAAGGAAGTTAATTGGAAACAGCGGCCGAATTCCACCATAACCAGGCTTGATTGTACTCTAAAAGGTCATCTTATTGTGAAGGTGTGTGAAAGTTTTTCTAGTGCAGTTTGGATTCTGTGAACCACATGGCCTGCAAAGATCACCAGCTTTCTTTTCAAGGCTACGGATAAATAATTCAAGATGTGAAGCAAGCAAGATTTGAAAGTAGGGCCCTACTTTCCTGGCTACATAAACCTCGTCTCTTAGAAAAAAAGGAGACGGAGATGAGCAACGGCAGAAAACATGACAAAACTATTACTTGAACACGTATAGAAAAATGTCACTTTTTCTCTATTTAGATTAAGCTTTCAGTCTACATACCCAAAGGTAGTAGGTGAACTGCAGCGCAAAGATGGCGATGCCTTCGTTGTCGAAGGAGCCCGCCACAGAGCGGGAGATGTAGCCCGGGACGATGGCGATGAAGCAGGCTGCCAGCAGCCCTGCGCCCTGGTTCCACAGCTCCCGCGTCAGCAGGTAGGTGGAGATGGCCGTCAGGCCGCTGAACACGGGCGCCAGGAACACACACACATCCCGGATGTGCACCGTGACGTGAAGCAGGTTGAGGATGTAGTGGATAAGGCCGGCGGTCACCATGAGCCCTGGGTAGACCTGAGGGCAGAGACACACACACACAGATTAGAGCGACCAAAAAAAAACAAAAAAAACATGGCAGGTGAGTTGAAGAGGCTGTGAGAGGATTCACAAGACAATTTCACACAACATAAGCTTGGTGTATTATATTTTACAGTTTACCATAGAAATTATAAAGCAACTGTCAAACCCATGCATAGACTTTCCTATCTTAAAAAGTTGCAACAGATCAACATATCACAGCCTGTTAGAACGAGCGGTCGCTGATGTGTGGTGCAGGGAATAAAACAAGTACAACAATCAGGCTCTTTGCACATGACATTCAATTTGGGCTTCCAGTTGAACAGAAGTGCACACACCTCCATATTGCACATACGGATTGGATGTGGTGAGACAAATCGGATCAATTTTGTTCTCCGGTTGAAGTTCAAATCCTAAATGTAAGTGGCAGATTTAGAAATAGCCGGGCATCCAGTTTAGTTATAATGGAAAAGACGTCAACTTTACGACACAATTTTATAATGGTTGCGGCAGAAAACATGTAAATTTTTAAAACTGTTTTCACTGTGACACAAAGTGACCAGTAGAAACACAGATTGTGTTTCCTGCTCAACACTGTGGCTAAACTGATTGTGGAGATGCAGGTAAAAAAAAAAAAAAATCTGAAGATTTGGCAACCTTACTGTTTAATACATGATATATTATGATATACTATAAACTTTATTGCTAAACAAATAAATCAAAATTTAAAAATTATTTAATGAGAGGGAAAGATGGATAAAATCTATTCTAGGATAATGAATTATTTTTGCTTATCGGTTTTAAAGCAATAAGGATTATATCGTACAAATCACGTTTTTATGTAAATACTGTGCTGCAGTGAAATTGTGGCATTTTTAATTGAGGTTGCCCAAGCAGTCGATGACTATACTCCTTTTACGAGGAGGAAGAAAAAAAAAAGAGAGTAAAAAAACCCCAGCAAATGAGCAGTTTGGTAGCTTTTTGCAAGTTCTGCAATTTTGTTTCTTCCAAAGGCAGCAGCTCTGGCCTTAAAACTCAAACTCCAAGTTGAACATAAGTTCACACCTGCAGATTGCTTTTATAATGACTTATAAAATACAAAAAAGAAACCCAGTTTGTTTACAACTGTAAGGAGCTTCCAATGTGTTGAAAAAAGGCCATTGTTTCTAATAACTTTAATGCTCTTACAATATGTCTGTAGTGCGCAACCATTATTATAATTTTTTTAGCAAAGAGACCTTTTAAAAGGTTCAAATACACAGTCCCACGTCCCGTCTTCACAAATTCAGTGTAGTGGAAAATCTTCTATTTGTTAGTTTCTAATTCTCTTAAGACTCAGTGTGGCAGAACAGCAGATCTAATGTGTTAATTTCTCACAAAGTCTCACTGATTCAGACAGAAAATAAAATACTTCTGCTCTGTATTTGTTCAAAAACAGTCAGTAACTAATTAAACATAACATTTAAGATTAGCTTTTAGTCACTGGTAAATTTGAAGCTTGGTGGGTGAGCTGAGAACGGGCACAGCTGGGTGTTACAGTCTTTTAAATCCTCCACTTTCCCTGTAGGCCCATTAGCTCAGCTGATTTAAAAAGACCAAGTTGACAGCTGCAAACGGGCTTTGTGTTAACTTTCTTCATTAATGCATGATTTGTGTATAATAACAGCTCTTTTGAAAAGCTGCAGCTCATAAATGCAAATAAAATTCAGTATAAACCAAACTATCTGGGGCGTTTTTAGAGGTGAGGGGAACAATTACAGTAAATATTTCAGCTTAAAATGAATCTTCCATCATATTTATGGATTCGCTTTAGTCCAGATCAACCTTGCAGCAGAAGGATAATCTTGACAAACTAGTTTAAAAAGCGCTGAATGAAAAAAAAAAAAAAAAAGGCAGCATTTCTTCAGCAGAATGTATGATTATTAGCTCCTCCTGCTGAAATCGAATTGTGGCCCGTGTAGGTGAGGCCTCGTGCCCCCGTCTCCTCCAACCATGAGAGACGATCCAATTAGAGCCTGTTGTAGTGTACTAGAGATGTCAGATGCAAAAAAGGTTATGCATAAAAGTAAGTGATCTCTAATGTGTATTCAGTGTAGCCTCAGTCTATACTCTACTTCTCCTAATACACTCGTGTCTCTATGTTTCTAATTAGCCTACAAGATCCAAGCTTCGCCAGCCAATCTATTTCAACGAGAGCCGACTCTCTCTCTCTTGACTCAGAGGATTTGATTATGTCTATTGGAACAAATTCCCATCATTCCCTGCATTAATCTTATAATTATTAGCTAGTTTGAACTCTGTATTGTGACCTAGATGAAGGAAAAGTGCTACTGTTTAAAATAGGGCTTACAAAATAAAAATAAAAATATAAAAAGATCTAGTTTGGCTTAAATGTTTTGGTTTTCAAAATGAATATATGCTAAAAGTACAGAGTTCTCATTATGAAATGTTGAAAACCTAACAAAAGCCCTCACAAATTATGTATTTCAATTGTCCTTGTGGAGACAAAGAGTGGGTTATCGGCTTGACAGCCCGCTGTTGTTACAGGCTGGCACATTAAAGAGGCTTTCCTTTCTTATTTGCAGCTCAGAAAGAAAGAGCAACTGACAGCCATCCTCTGGGGAGAAGAGGGTGGGCCGGGGAGAAAAGGGAATAAAAAGACAAGGCCAACTGGACTGGTCTTAGCTGAGACACACTTCACTGTCACGTTAACCGGTATCAAGTCATACGTCCTCCAACTGGTGCGAGACTTCCGAGTGCTTGGAGGATTAATGTCATACACGATTAATGAGGGTTGTTGAGATGCACCATCTACCTTTGAATTGAAACACAGGGCAAGGTAAAGGAGAAGGGATGGAGAAAAGAACATTTTTGAGGACGTGTGAAAAGCTACAAAATAATAAAGACGACGTGGATATTAAAGATGCACAGATCAGAAATCTGTGGCTCATTTCTGATCTAAAGTTTCAACCTAATGATGAGAACAGCCAATTCATTATTTTCCTAAATTTTCTTAACTACAAAATGTTTTTTTTTTCTAGCCTTCCTGTTGATAGCAGTCATTAAGTATTTATGTAGTGAACAGAGGCAACCTCACACTCTGTGTCTGTGTACTTGCTTAGCTTTTCTATTTGGGACCTTCTCTGGCATATTTACTAACCTTCTGAAGACCGATGGCCCTTATGAGGACCAAAGCCCGGTTCTAATGCTATGAACGCCGCTTGTTTAAGGTTAGGGGTTATGTTTAGAGGTATGGTGTGAATTATGTTTTTGTTAAGGTCAGGATTAGGAATATATCTGTTAGTTAGGGCAAGGTCAAGTGTTCAGGTTAGGTATAAAAGCAGCTATTGAAATGAATCGAAGACAATACAAAGTCTTATTATGGGCAGAAATACAAACGTGCTCATGTGTGAGCAGTCACGCTAAAACAGGTTTCACCATTTAAAAACGACAGCATGATATATTTGACATCTACAATTGTCTTCGACATCTTGGGGTGAATTCACATCAGCCCCGTTTAATCCAGTTTAATCAAACCCAAGTTCGTTCACTTAGAAAGTCCAGTTTGTTTTGGGAGGAGTAAATGCTTAATCAAACTCTGATTAATCGCCAGTTAGTGAGCAGTTGTAGGACTTCTGTTTTGCCTTTGGCCACTCCATTCTTGTTTACAGTTTATGAATAAGGAAGTTGATCTCAATGTCTTCTTCAGAGGTTTTTGGTGCACACACATGCTCAAAGGGTTTGATTCGATTCACAGAGCAGTGTGAAAGCAAACCGCACCAGCTGAAAAAGTCACAAATACGGCAATTTTGGTCCCCAATTTTGGTCAGTTCCATAACTGAGATTACTGGATCATCAAGTTTGAAAACATTAAAACTAAAACTCTAGTCTCCGTTTTAATTCTCTTAAAAATTAAGATTACTGACCTCAACATTCTGAAAACCTTTCTAAACAAGATCGACACAAAGTGACATAAAAGAGAAAGTTTGCTGTACTTTGTTAAGCCTTCCTGTTATCTGCTGAAAGTCTTCTCCCTTCCAGACATATCTTGATGTGTCATAGATGACAGCTTTTTAAAAAGCTTTTATGATTCCTCCGAATTTATGCATTGACGTGTAACATCAAGGTAACAGATACACATCAATTAGCACCTGTGAGATGCATTGTGTTTCTGCAGAAACAGAACAGATTACTGGACATTGTTGCCAGTATTTTGGAGTCTGGACTGGTCCTGGACTCCTCCGGCCAGCGTGTTAATGACAAGCTGCGCCTGCCAGAGCACTTCGGTAAGTGCTCTAGTCACTGAAGGGTTCTCCCTGATGCCTTCAGACACTTGAGTTCTGATTTTTTCTTTCGGTGCGACTCCCATTCTATCACAAACAAAAATATAGTTTTATCATTAATGATAAATGACTCACTATTGCTGCCAATCTTAAGCAAAATGTGTATTTCTAAAGGTTACCTCGTTATGAGGTCTCCACTGCATTTCTTAAAGGTATTAAACTAGAGGTTCATGATAAAAAGCAAGGTGCCAATAACTGGACATCTTACCTTGAAGCATTGGCAGGCCACCAGACCGTACTGGTGTAGGCTGTTCATTACAAAATAAACCCACATTTTCTGCCACTGTGAGCTGCCCTTTAGTGTACTTTCCTCAATGACAAGAGTGCACACTAAAGAGTGCCGTTACACCAATATGGCAGCAATAGTCAAAAACAAGGAGTGACTGAATGGCCCAGCAGGTAAAAAAAAAAAAAAACTGTCCAAACCGGCTACTAGCCAATTTCTCAGTTCACTGCTGGCGAATAGGAGAGGTGATATAAGCAATTGGAAACTAAAACTGTAGGAGAAAAACAGCATTTGGAAAAACTTTTTAACTGACGTTTTCAAGGCAAATGCTCTTCACTACATTATGGTTAGAACTGAGGAAAAACCCAACTCTCATCTGCTCTCCTCCGTGTTTTAAAAGCACAGGCTTAATGCAAATGAGAG